AAATTCGTTATTGGTAAATATTCTTTGTTGGGTGCGTCCTCCCCTCCCTTTCATACGTCACAATTAGGTGACGCCACATCAACAGAGTGGAACTGGGCACCGTGAGACTTCCGGTGGCCGAGATACCACCAGAACACTCGTCGGTCAGTGATGTCGCTAGAGTTGGGTAGTGCCGTGCAGATGTGAGGAAAGAAACCGTCCTTTCGGTTCGTGGGACGTTTGTCCTTTGTTAGTCCTTCACTTCAACCGTAGCGTGCGTTATAATGTTTTCAAGAAAGTCAGTCAGAAGTAAAAGACGAATTTCGACGAGTCGTTACCTTTAGTTAGGGTAGAGGTTAGTCTCCGGTCCCTGGTGTAAGTAAAAATAAATTTGAGTTTTGAGTTTATACCAATCACTCCTTAGTCGAGACGGTTGGGACTGGGTTAGAAGACGAGGAATGCGTTAGGTGACGGACACAAAATTGTACAAGAAAACAAAACAAAATTACAGACATAAAATTTAACCAAAATACATTTCCATAAGGGTCATTACATACAACGTACAAAATTTACATAACACATAAATGAACAAATTTTACTTTACACAAAATCCAACTGAAAATTTTAGACAGGTCCTGATGTCTACTTTTTATCGGGAGAACCGATTGAGACCGTGTAAATGTCTTTTATAAAGCAGGTTACACGTGACAGGGACAATTTATTTACTTGATTTATTTATTTTAAGTTTAATGTTTGTACGGATACCAAATTCTTCCCATAATTGGTAGTATACGTCTACACTAACACAGCCACGTGTCTATGTGAACTTACTTTCTAATCCTCAAATCGGATATGGTAAACACACCGGAGGGGCCTCTCAATTTTACGCCGTGAGGTATTTCCATGGCCGAGAAAGTCCCTGGTCGGAGCATTTACACGTGAGACCCATAGTGGGGGACATTTTTTGGCTATTTAGTGTGTAAATGTAGAGGAGAACACAAAAATCTAAAATTTTACTTGAAACATATATGATATAAATCAAACGAATGGGAAACGTCACCTCCTACTGGGGTGCCGACCGACAGCCCAGCTCTTTCCTACTCTCAATCTCCCCGCTCTACCTATATCTCCACGACCGATGTCGGAGGTCTCCTGTCCCTCAGTCGTCTCATGTCCGTCCTCCTGAGCGAGGACAAAAACCGACTCCCTAACAACATAAGTACACATTCCACAAGAACAAAGGAGGGAAAAAAAATATGAATTACACAAACATAAAACAAGTACTGTGTTTCTGAAAAACGGTACCAGAGAGAATCATGGAACAGTAATTAGACAATATATATATATACTGCATGACGGAGTGTGTGGTCTGACGTGCCTCGGGGGGGACACCCGGAGTCCTGGGCCGGGGGACTTTCCTCTCCCAATTCTCTCTATTAGATATATCTACTGTGTGTTTTTGGAAATGGTGACCGTTACGTAACGGAAGGACACGGTTTTCAGGAGTTCTGTAGTCAGATGAAACTAGTAAGAGAAGCCGTAGAATGACAAACCGTTTATATAATGGTGAATTACTGTTTGTTTTTTTGATTGACTTGATTTTATGAAATTTTATTTACTGTTTCTGTTTACAAATAGGTGGATAATCGTACCTAAGATTTATCCCCGTATTATTATGAACTCAAAAATCTTACCCGTTAAAACTTTTTTCACGTTTATATACATACGGAATCTCGACGTCTCATTTTCACACAAAAAGATGGTAAAGTGTTATCGTAAATTAACGTGAAAATTTCAATGAGAGTATAGTAGAGGTTACACATCATGTATGGAACTTGGTCCACGTCACTGACCGCTCACGTTACTTACGCTTTGAAGGGAGCCAGAACGTGTGACACCGGTCCTCGAGGTAGACCGAGGTGCGGTACCGCTTAGACTAATAGTTTAATTCTCAATTTGTTCTTTCTTCTTCAGCTCTAGACCATAGATTAATGTAGACAACTAAACCGAATAACTCAAAACAAAAGGTTCTACTCCAGTTCCGCACTAGAGCCAGGGGTGGACCCAGAACCACAGGCCACTCTCGAACTGGACGAGAGGCGAGGGTTCAAGTGTCAGATTAAAAAGGACAAATTGAACTATTTTCCTCCAATATAAAACCCTGACATTACAAAATGCATGGTTTTATACCGGTATGGCGGAGAGATCAAAAGATGTGGATGGGACACGAGTGGCTAATGTGTGAGTTTTTTGTTTAATCTGATTCTGTGCAAAAACTAATAATCCACCAAAATAAATGTTTTTGCTAATCTTTGACATATCCAAGACTGTGATAAAAAAAAAAAAAGCCGACCTCCCCAACAATATTTATTAATGGAAATAACTGCCTTTTTGTGCATGTTTTTCATAGAAAACACAAATTCATGTTTTCAAACTGGCAGTTCAAGGGTTAAAATCCTGAACATAATTTAACATTTGGTATTTTTGATCAGGACTGAAGTTTGATTGAAAGATTTTACCCCAAAAAGTTTAAAAAAATATTAATGTGTTGTCATTTTTAGAGCAGTTTTTCGAAGTGGACATTTTTGTCCCGAATGACTAATATGTAACTTTTTTGTGCCATCTGATTTTGTGCAAAAACTAAAAATGCAAAAAAATCAATTTTGCTGCTAATCTTTGACATATCCAAGACTGTTATAAAAAAAAAAGGAGCCAGTCACCAGATATGTATTTTTTGGAAAATAACTCATTTTCTCTGTTTTCATCATGAAAAAAAACAGCGGTTTCATGTTTTCAAAATAGCATTTAAAGGGTTAAAATCCTGAAAATGATTACATTTTTGGTATTTTCTATTAGGGCGGAAGTTGCTTTAAAGATTGAACCCAAAAAAGTTGTGAAAAAAACCTTTTAATATAATGTTTTTATCAAAGTATTTTGCAGTGGACATTTTTGTCTCGAATGACTAATTTGCGTAGTCGATTTGTTACACAGTGAATTAAAGACCGATTTGAAAAATTGAAATTCGAATTCCAAAATATATCGAGAAAATAGCCTTGTTACAAAAAATCAGGCCATTTGCACCAACACAACCAAAGTTATTGCAAAATGAAAAGTGAAAAATGACCCATATGGACAAAAACGTCCACAGTGATACCGGAGGGTTTTAATGAATTACTACTATTTCATGAAAATCATGTCATCTGTGTGTGACTTCATAAACTAAAAGCAGTTGTTTAGCTTTTTCTTTTAACACCTGAATGTAATGGATATGTAAAACAAATAATTTGATTCATGAAGGTAAGATATCATTATCACTCTTTTATCTCGTTTTTTAGTTTGATTCTCATTTGAGTTGTATTCTCTAATTGACAATGTCATAAATAAGGCTGTTGGCCACAACAATTTGTTACGATCAACATATATCATGAAAATACTAAAACAAACTGTGAGTCTCATTCTTTGAAAAGGGGTCATGACCATAAACATATTTTATTTAATCAAAATGTCTATGCCTGTCTATAATAATGTGGCTTTTAGAAAACAATACTTAAATAATATTAAATGAGGCAGCAGTATGTAAGAAGGAGTTAAAATAAATATAGTTCCTGCATTCATCGTAATGAGAAATGCCTCAAAGAGTGTAACAATGTAACACTTGGAGGTCCACTGCTCCCTTTATCAGGCTTTGACTAAGAGAAATATAGAATATTGTTTGCCTTGTCCCTTAATGTTGCTCCCTATTCTACCAAAGCTTATGTGTTACAAACCAGTTTGTATGAGCAGATAATAAACTTAAGTAAGAACATGTCTCTGATGATCGGAGTGTAAGATTAGTAGGAATCAACTCTCATTATTCTCTGCATTATATTATCTTGGAATAAACTAAATACAGTTGCGACCTTGGTAACTATAAGAAAGTGAATCTTAAAGCTTGGGTAGCGTATTGTCTCACATATTCAATCTTAATTATCGCAAGATGCTGTTTCTTTGTTAAACAAGGCACAGAGGGGATAGCTTCTGAACTCCACATAGTGAGCCCTCGAGCAGGGCTCAAATGTAGTCAAACTCCCAGAACAGGCTAATCTCAGGAACTATAGAAACCTAGTATTCCACTTAACGTGTTAAACATGTGGACATAAATGGAAAAAAACATGCCAATTAAAAGTGGAAGGATCAAACTCACAATCCTCTCAATCCTTTAACCTGTCACATGCAGGAGCTGAAACTGCAGACAGGTTCATCGTCAGCACTGAAGTGTCCCAGCTCAGCACGGCAGCCCCCTGACACGACACCCTGACACCTGCTCCCCTGCAGTGAGCCGCCCCACTAACTAATTAGCATAGACACTACCTTTTTGATCAACACAAAGCATTCTCTCTTGTTTCCAATTACGCCATGCGCATTTAAATGAGCCAATTAGCGTATGCATTTCCCCTGGTATCCAGTTCACAGAGTGTTTGATTGGGATTCTGCTGCACATCAATACAGCACTAAGTTTAACTGCCCTGCAGTCCACTGCGGACGGGAAGGATGAGCTTCATGTTACACATACTAATTCATTTGGTTTAGGTGGTGGCGATCGAGATACGTTTTGGATAATTATTTAAGTTTTTGTTAAAATGTACAAAACAAATGATTTATTTATGTTTGTATAAGGGATACACAATCTCGGCAGAATTGTATAGCAATGAGACATTTGCAATCCAGTCATTAAGTAGATACAAAGTTAGTTAATACTTAGAGGATTGTGACCAATTAACAGCAAGAGGAACTATTTAGCATTTTCCCTGCTTCTTTCTGCATTTTCTGAATAAATATTTTGCACTGTCCTTTCAAGGAAAGGAACTTGTTCACTTAATCCTGCTGTAAATATTGATGTGGTATACATTTAATATAGATATACAGTATATTGCTTAATTCAGCAGAAAAAAATAAGCTAATTTAAACTAGTTTACTTTTTTTAAATAGTACGATATTTTAATTGCAAATGTGTTATTTTCTGTGTCTCATTTCACAACTAGCTGTTGCAAGGGAAGTCCATTCCTAAACTGGGGTCACTGGACCAGATAGAAACAGGAAGTGGAGACGCAGATGGACGCTACAGCGGCGACTGTGATGATGAGGACGGCTGCGGTGGTTCGGGGGGCGACGAGGTGAAGAGGAAAGTCCCCAGAGTCTCCAAATGTAAGTCTGATCTTTCTGTGATTTTATTGAAGAATAAACCAGTTAACCTTACCACGTGAAGACATGTTACCCAGCTTTGTTTAATAGCAACAGCATCTGAGAGGGAATATATATTATCATTTATGTTCTAAAGGATTGGGTGAAATGATTTTAATTTGTATGTTTCGATGCATAATTGCATTTAGTTTTTATTGTATAAATCTCCTCTTTGTATGAGGTTAAGATTTTGTACATGGTCCCTGATAAATGAATGAAATACACTAAACATAGAACACATTATTAAAACAAAATTTCACAAAGCACACATATCATTACAAGTAATACTGTATAAACTCTTCAAGTTCATTTGCTTCCTAATTTTCAAATGTATTAAATTGAGCCTTTTACTCATTGCCCTTTTCAAAATTGCAGAATTAAAAAAGTTAAACAGGTTTTTGATCGTTGAAGATATTAAATGCATAAGAATATATTTTAATAAGACTAGCTCCAGTCTCCATTTTATGACAGTCATAATAATAGTCATTAAATATAATAGTTGCTATGGGGACATTGTTGCAATCAAGGCCCGTTACTTTAAGAATTATGGCTCCTCAGAGGATCAGTAACCTCGGATGAATCACAGCGGCGGAGCTCTCCTCTTCACTTTGTGTCCCGTCGCTCCTCTCAGCACAAGGAACCCCCTCTCCTCTCTGCTCTCCATCAAACATGCTAACCACCTGATTAATCACCTCTTTCGTTTTGCCTATGGCGACAGCGAGGAAGAGGGGGTCATCCAAACAAGCCGTTCTATCCGTGTAAATGTTTCCTTTACTGCTTGTCAGTCTGTCTGGAGGCTTTAGCAGCTCAGGCTCAGGGAGGCTGTTTAACAATCGCTCATGTGAGGCAGTGGGAGGCTCTGACATTTATCACCCATTACAGTACAGCAGCCCTTTCCTTGTCATAGGCCAGATCAGCCTGTCTCCCATATTTATGACCCACTGTCTGTCATGACCTTTGTCGAGCATCTGTCCCCTGCTGCCTGACCCTCACATAAATACCCAGGGTTTCCACCTCAACCAGACCTCTGGTCAGTCCCTGCACATTTCCACTGGTATTAAATGCATGTATTGCTTAATAATGGGTTGAATTATTTCTTAGTGGCTGGTTTTTATTGTTGTCGTATAATTAAATGTAGAATTTGGATACAGTAGCACTTAACATGTTCAATGTCTCTCTCCTACTAAAACAAGTCTTACACAATTTAAAGCAGCTTGTAAGAACAGCAAAGACGTAATGTAAGTACAATGCATTATATTTATGAACAGGAACACAAATGTGCCCTAAAACCATAACGGAAACAAAGTGCTACTCTTGGACTCCAGCCTTTAGTAGGCCATACCTCTTAGAAAACGAATTACATCAGTACATCTAGGTGTTTGGTGATTATCTGCAGGTACAACTCAAAATGAAAGTATATTTTCAGATCAGAAAAAAATGCTTTGATATGTGTTGTTCTAGAGGTCATGCATTTTTTTCAAGGACTTGTGTCAGTGTCTCTGTATTCTGCGGTATGGCGTCTGTGCTCTGACAAGTTCATATTAGGCGAGACCCAGCCTCTTGAGAAACCAATTATAAATGACAAATCACAGCCTGTAAGGATAACACTGATGGCAAACTTCAGGTCTTTTCAGTACAACAAAGATACTGTATATACCTAATGTTTAGTTTCAAGTAGATTATCAAAAGAAAAGACTCTCTTCAATAAAAGCTTTAACTTAAATGACTTGAAGGTGTCAAGTTAAATCATAGCATGTACATTGATTTAAATATCGCAGCAGTCATGGAGAGGGTTTGCTGTGTCTGAAATGCTCTGTGATCGTCACACTTCTTTAGATCAGACAAGCAGTAGCGTTAGAGCCATTGCGAAATTCTTCAGAGTATTGACATTGTTCTTCATTGATGGAGATTGTAATTTAATTTAGTTATATGTGTTGCCAGAAAAACAAAGTTGAGAGCTCTGAAAAGTTCCTGCATCATACTGCAGCAACACAGCTGATAAATTGGCTACCGAGAGGGTTAAATCACAGTGGTGGTGGTGATGAACTATTAATGAACATTGTTAGTTTTTTATTTCAGTGTGTGTGCAAAACTTCCTAACAGAAGCCCCGTAGAGACAGAAATACAATATGAACACTGACAACTACAGAATAAAAAAATAAAAAAATAAATAATTCGATGAAGGTGAGCTAAAAACTGACATGCTACCAGCTCTCCAAGAACATGATCGACAAACTAAAAGCAATACAACTCATTCACAAGTTACAAGTGAAGGAGATCAAAGGGAGAGTGAGAGATGTATGTTGCAAGATATGTGATATGATGTTTTTCTTTGTTGCAGTGTTTACGAGTTTATGAACTATATAGAAGTCACAAGACAACGTGATATATCTCAAGCTTACATTATTTGAAAGGCATGTCATTCTTCACGTACATTAAGCTGTCAGTGCCAGATACTATAACACCATTTATAATTTAATTTGATTTCTTTCTCCACAATTATCCATAATCCCTCTCTTGGTGTGTTTGATGTTTATCAGCAGAACATGCTGACGATAGATCAAGATGATGAGGAAATAAAATGGGAAAAGCTCAATACTGACAATACAAGCCTGATTTAAGGGATTATCCTCATTAAGCAGAATTACTGTTGTGTGAGACTGCTATGTATGTGACAAGAAGCAACAATGTTAGCAGTTCATTCTTCAGAAATATTTCAAGGAGTTTCGAAATGTTTAGTGCTTACAGATGGCTTTTGTTTACTGCATTGCACTCCAGATCCCTGAGTTACCTGAGTTTGTTTTGTGTGTAAACTCAGACAATTATTTTAGAAGATAACACAGACTAAGAAAACTCAGGATTCCAAGAAATATCAGAAAGATTGAATCTATCCAGAATCTTTTGTGTATTTCTTTTGACGTCATGCCCTGTTTTTTCAGTAATTGCAGACCTCCCAATTACTATAACAAACACACACATTCCTCCTTAATTAAATGAAATTAAAATTGAACACAAATGAGAACTAGCACCTCAATGTCAAAACTGTTGTAATATCACATTGTTGTATATTGCAGCATATTACAGTGTATGCAAAGCATCATAACCAGGATCATAATTACCAATTATAATCAACATAACTGGAATATTCATTAAGAAAATATATAATATATCTCTTGTCTGTGGAGCTGTGTTGGTCCAGACTGTGACTGTGTGCAATTGTGAAACTCCATTGACATACTAATTTCTCAAATCAGATATCATTGTAATATGACACATTTTAACTTCATAATAGCAAAAGAGACATTTTAACTTTGTAGACCTTATCCAGACCTTCATCTTTATAAATAAGGTTAGCCGGAGGGCCTCAAGTAGTGGGGATGAGACAATGCTTTTCTTCTGCCCTACTTTATTGTTGAGCCTGATGAGATAATTATACACCTTTTAATTACATAAAAAGCTTCCCAGATATGAATATAATGAATCCAGGTTAACAATTTAAGCCTTGGTGGCTTGTTAATAACCAAACAGTTATGAGATAACAGCAAAGAAAGTCTACAGCCATGCTATTGGGTAAAATGTTTGCCATGTTCACCGTCTCAGTTTACTGTCTCAGAATGGGAATGTTTCCTGTTTATCTCTTAATAAAAAGTACAGCTGAGGCTGATAGCATTAGTTTTGAAGATATTTTGTTACAAAGTTTTGGACTGACATTTTAACCATATAATGGTGCTAGAGGATCATCATCAAAGTTATTACAATTTATCACAAAGTGGAACCAAGTGTTGACATTGAATGTGATGAAAATCCTTGGGATAGTTGTTGAGACAGTTCCTTCAAAGCCAAAAATGAGAACCTGTTGGTGGCACTGGAGGAACAGTTATATTCATCAAAGATATCAAGGGCAATTTTACAGAACAGACCAACATACAGTAACAACATTACAAAACAGAAGATCCAAATGTCAAAATGATACAAAGAATGTGAGTATGTAAAATGTGTGTAAAAGTGTGTAAAAGATGGACACAGGCTGATGTCAAGAATCTTCTAGGTGTCTTTCAGCCAGAGCCTGAGTCACACAACCTCCACTCCATCATGTCTGTTGGAAAGAAGACAGTCTACACAAAAATGCAATAATTAAGGTTGAAGAATCCTTCACACAGACAGTAAAATGAAACAAATACAGACAGATATTACTAAGGACATGGAATCAAATCTCCCAAGCAGATTACTTACGACTGTAAGCACAGCTTTGGTGGGGTGGTAGGACATGGAAACAGACTGAAAGGGTTCAAAAAGATAGTACTGAATATATCCTCTGAAAGTTGCTGGGATCAAAGTAGAGGATCGACTGACATTGCCATCGCTCGAGCCACGCCCCTAGCATGGCCAGAAGAAGGAAAAACGTGCCTACAGTTGCCGGATACATACTAAAGGGAAAATAGTGGTTTACCTCAACTTCCCTTTATCCAATAATACATCTTGGATCAGCATCACCTGCAGTTGGGAAAAACTAAGAGGCTTTTTCATGCTCCAGCACCAACATGCACCTCATGTCTCTTTTCTGGCCTGGTGTAGTCGGCTGCAGACACTGTGACTGCTTGCAGTGTGAGCGTTGTACTGCAAAAAGACATCTGTCAGACACTGTGGCAGCAGTGGAGACACCAATCGATTTCTAGCAAGTAAGCACAATGAGGGGAAGGGGAGAAGCTGCTTTACCATGACTCTTATTAATTAAGTGTCACAGTAGGAGAGTATTTCATGTTGTTTTGGTTTTTACCTTGTGGTAAATGACTAGATGTAGCTGTTGCACGTAGAACTCCTCCACTATCTAATGTCAAGGGATGATTTGAAAGAACACATTCAACGAGGGAATTGGTGCATATTTAGAAAAAGCAATTTCATGTCGTAATTGACGTGTTGTATATGTTCCAGCTCTAAATGAGAGATCTGAGAGACAGGGAATTACATGAAGGCCACTGTGGACATACAGTAATAGACCCATCACTGGGAGACATTTGCAGTT